AATGCATACAATTACATCACATTTGCTGATCAAATAAAAAAACTTCTCGATAATTTATTTATCAAGTTCGATCTCTACATTGAATATCTTTTAACCACTTTAATTATGACTACAATTGATAAATTTTTGCTAAATTAGTTACAATAACGAATTTACTAAACTTGACCAAAAGAACTTAATAATCTTGCTTTAAGAACATGAATCTTGCTAAATTAGTTGTAGTGCAATTAGAGCCGAAAATTTGTTAGATTTGATCGATATCACTGCCGCAGCTACCGCAGCATAATTAATTTTGCGATGGCAACATGATAAGTTCAATTTTTTGCAGAATAAGTGTAATTTCGTAGGTCTTATTCATGATTACAATGTTACACCTTTTTACCTGTAAATTTCTGAATATATGTTGAAAAGTTACGGGTTTACAACTTTCTCCATACAATTTTGCTACCTACTTTTTAATTTATTGACTAAAATAAATATATTAACCGATAGATTACAACTAGTAATTTAAACTCTCGTGCCAAATTTAAAAACGATATTCGCGAAAAATAAATTTCAGAATTGACCCTTATAAATCTAATAATATTTACAAATTATTAAAAAAAAACGCTATATTTTAAATACTACCGCAAAAACCCACACGACAAATTAAAGTGCATATCTTTCTGGTCGGTTTTATCTTATTTTTTATTTCAAAAAATTATTTTAGCGGGAAGAATTAAATTTTGCTTTCTTCTAATAATTTAATATTAAAAAGTGATATCCATTTCGTGTAACATAAAATCTGTACTATGTAAATCTATTAAGGGTCCACATATAGGTTTGATTTTATTAGTTGACCGACCACCCCTACCTTGCACTGCGTTTTATGGTAATACTTTAAAATATTAAATGTAAAATTTTAAAGTTATATATTTTTAATTGAGTATTAATAATTTTTGTACGTATAAATTTACATATAAAATTTGGGAATATCATTAAAACATGTTTTATAACTGCTATCTAAATTTTGGTGGTATATTTATTGAGAAAATCTTGACTTGATTAAAAATTCCAAAGAAAATTTTCGAAAAGTTATTCAAACATCAATCTATTATTATTAATTTTTAAACTTTAAGAACCATAATTGATTTCTGGGCTATGCTGAAAAGATTGATCCAAAACACTGTTTTTGTATTTTAAAAGTTATTCTTGTTACATCCCTAACACAGACTATAGACTAGAAAACTTGGTGTTGACTTGAGTTTGCTTGAAGATCTGCTAAACTAGTTTAATGGCGAACATCGATAAAATTATTCTAATAGTACGTATAACGATAGTAATTTAAAAAGTTACTATATATATATATAGTCATTTTCGTAATGCTACGTATAATGAATGTTAAATATAGAAAACTTTTGAATTACGGAATATTCTCGAAATAAGTTATAGTAACGATTCTTTTCAATTATCCAGTAACCAATAAACTACTGACTAATGTATATCTTTTTTTTTGTATGAGCATTACTTTCCGGATCTATTAAATAGCGGGCGTTTGATAATCCTACGCAACGAAGGTCTGCCGATCAACATAATGCTTAGAATAGAGCACGGACTATTTTGCATAAATACTAGGAGAATTTATAACAGATCCAAATCCCCACAAAATCGCTAACACTCACTATTATACTGGCCTGGTTTTTTGAAATAGTGAATTTAATCGAATTTTATTAATTCAATCTATATACCAAGTTAAATGTTTTAAAAGAAAATCAATGCTGATTTTTCTAAAGGCAGTCACAAACATATGTAGAATATTAATAAAGAATCAACGAAGTCTTCAAAATAAGAAATAATGATGTTTGAGTGGCTTTTAATTCTTCAAATTAATAAATTTTTTTTAAAAAAAATTTTTTTAATACGTATTAAAATTATTAAAATTATTTTAAAGTATATACATTATTAAAAGCAACACAATTGATTATGTCATGCTCATATCCTTTATACTGAAGCTAATGTTCATGTGTTTGTATATAAACAGTCAGCTCTTCATAAGTACATCATCCCTTGAGGATACGTACGTTTGAAGAAAATGTGCACTTATGGAATACATTCTATTGATAGTTCTATAATCCTGAGATTAGAGCATAGTGCTACGTAGTGTGTGTTATGATGCGGGCATTTATGGAAACTATGATTCTTTTTTTTTTACCGATTGTAACAATAGACTTGAGTATAATTGTATAATCATTCCCCACGCGCTTACCTTCATAGTTTTATATAGTTCTATCGATCTTAATGATCTTCTTTTTTTCAAATGTTGATCTTCAATATTTTGAACATCGATCACTTTAGCCACGATATACATGTGTGATACGAATCACGCGAAATAAAGATTACGGTCGGTAGAGTTAAATTTGGGGTTAGGACAGGACGTTTTAAATTTTACAAGTTACTTTATCAGGACGAAAAAGAATGCAAAAGGCGGCTTATTATTGCAAAATTCCGAGATACCGGCGATTAACATTAGAGCCGATTTCTGGATTTTAAAATAGTTTCTATTTTGTGGGGGTAACACGGATCTTCAAGGGTCGTTGTTATGAACTTTGGATATACATTCATTCATTAATAATTTTCGCATGTAAACATGTGATTGTCTTTGAAGAGGTTTCCGCGCGTTATAGTAACAATTTTGGAAATTCATAAATCATGTATATGGTTTCGGGATGATCATTAGCAGTTCTTTACCAAAAAGTTAACAATTTCGAAAGAATATATTACCCGATAAAAATTGTAATATAAAGTATATAAAAGACAATAATACCTGAATTTTTAATTCACTAATTTCGAACCTTTAGATTTTCAAAGAAATAATGAAATATGTTACATATTGATTGATATTGTTACCTTGTTAAAATTACTCTCGTTTTTGATGCTTAATCGTTTAAAATCATTATTCTTCAATTAAACTATATATAATTTTCCCAAATAAAGACAACCAAAAGATTTTTTTATGAATTAAAGTCTCTTTAAAAAAAAAAATAGATAACAAAATAAATACATTTGTTCACATAAATAAAAAAAAAACCATGGACGAATATTCAGAGTATGCTGAAAGTTATGCCGCTAGCGCTATCAATTCTGTTCTCAATGAAAGTCCAGAATCATTAACGCCTCCAAGAAGTGGCAATTATTACAGGCAAACTTCTGAATATCATGTCCAGCAAGCTGAACATGCCGTAAAAGCCTTGAAACTTGTTGTGAATGGATCAGGATGGAAAAAGATTTTAATGAACAAAAGGGGTACTATTGTTTATAATAAGCAGGGAAGTATATTAGATGAAAGAACTCCAGTGTATATGGGTGAACACGAAATAGTGGGTTTTACACCACAAGCAATATTTGCTGTTATTGGAATGAGAAAACCTTGGGATGATTGGTATGATTCATATTTTTACTATTTTTGGTCAATTCTTGAAATGTATTAACATTTTTTGTTAGGTACGAAGGAGGCCATCTTGTCGACAATTTGAATGATACAACAAGTACAACTTATATGGTCATGCATGCGTTAGCCGGCACGAAGTAACTTCTATTTCAAAGTTTTGTTCCAATTTTTTTCCAAATTTACTCACGTGATTACAATTGATATATAGACCAAGAGACTTGTCATTAGTGGAAAAGATAGAATGTACCTCAACAGGTGAAATTTACTTTGCCACAACTTCAGTTGACAATCCAAAGGTTCCTCACATTTCTGGAAGAATCCGTGCAGAAATTATACTGAATGGCTGGGTTCTCCAGACTCTTTCCACTTCTCCGCCCAGAACAAAAGTTACCTACGTTCTTCAAGTAAATGTTAATAGTTGGTTTCCAAGATTTATTGTCTCAACATATATGTCTAGAAGGCCTCTTGTTCTTTGTGCTGTTGAAGATTATTTGATAAAAAATGATCCGCCAATAATGTCAATAAATAATACTTCACAAATATCGCAAACTCCTCCGAAACTTGTTCCCAAACTTTCTAATGGTATACGTGATGATAGTATTGTAGTGAGAAAAACCCCAAAGCGTAAAATATCTTTCAAGGAAAGTGAATCAACTCCTGAAGATATTAATTTTACCACTTTTGATAGTGATACTATATATGAAGAATCTATTCAACTATCTGAAAATCAAAATACTTTTGTCGACGATAATTTATTACCATTAATTCCACCCGATACCTCATTTCCAGTAAAATCACCTAAGCTAACACAAAGACCAATGCCTGTGCCACCAAGTTCGCCTCAAGTAATGTCGCCAAGAAATATGTCAATTACCTCGAATATGAACCAATCATTAAGACAAGATCGTCATCATAATTCTGCAATAAAAGCACTGTCTAAACTAAAAACATTAGCAAATGATTTAAATGGTTGGGAATTTCATACGGAGGAGCAAGGTGTAAAGATTTATGTAAGAGAAGGAATTTCTAACACTTTGCCAATGACGCGTGGTGATGCTAAAATTACCGGCAAATATACAGCCGATGATGTTTTGTCGGTCATTTCTGAACTTGAGATGAGAAAAATTTGCAAGTTGAATTGGTTTTTTTTTTTTTAGGTTCTTTTAAATATAATTTCAATTTTATAACGTTCTTTATCTTTTAAATAGGGGATTCTCGATTTGATGAAGGTATAAACATTGAACGTTTGGGACCAAATGAATTTTTAACAAAACTCGCGATGAAGAGTAACTTCCCGATCAGGTGATATATCGTTTCTTTAATATTTGTGTATTGGTTATATTTATATATATATGTCTTAAATGTTGATATTGAAAAAATGATTTAATAAAGTCGACGAGACTTGTCAACGGTTAGTATTATTGAACGTGATACACAAACTGGTACAATTTGGCATGCCAGCACTTCGGTCGTCGATCCTTTGATGCCTGTAAATAAAAGACATGTTCGAGCGAATTTAGATATTTCCGGATGGCAGTTACGTCCTAGGGTTGACGAAGAAGATTTGTCAACGTACATGGAAATTACCTACATTGTTGATATTGATATCAAACTTGAACAAATCCCCACGTCGATCACCAAAAACATTTTACTGCAACCACCATTATGTGTCGCAAATATCATAGAAATATTGAGAACAATAGGACATCCACCATATATAAAGAATACTACTGATTCAGTTATAAGTGAAGGAATTAATACCAAAACTTTTCAATATGATTTGGCCATGGAAGTTATTGGTAATGGAGTAACTGACATCAAAACTTCAAAGACAATGTATCCTAACGGGTTTGATGTATCAGTTGCACCAGAAGGTTTAAAAATTGAACTATTGGCACCAAGGTATACTGACATAAGAGTCACTGTGCCAGATGAATTGCATTTAGAAACAGTAAATATTAGAATTACAAAAAATCCAATAAGAGATTATTCATTAGATTCCCCAGCACCGTCGTCAACAGATGGATCAGAGGATAATAATATGTTATCTATGCGTGAAATAGACACTTCGGATTCAGCAGATTCTACACTTGTTAATAAAGATTCTGAAATCTATGAGAAAGATAACTTCCAACTAAAACATTTGAAAGCTGTGGTCACTGACCCAAAGGTTACTATTACAGATCGAATATCTCAACCGTCAGAAGGTAACCTTTTTAACTAATTTTATTATGTTGAATTGCGCATGAATGATAATTTCAAAAAAAAAAAAAACCTTTATAGAAAGTCCTAAACTAGGACCTCAAAGATTGATTGAAGAACGAAGTATTTTTGTGAATAAGGTAATATATAATTTTTGTTTATTTTACAAATTTCGAAGGCTAATTAACTTTATTGATATTAGTAGATCGAAGAAAAACAAGAAGAAGAAACGTCACCATCCTCACCACTACCACCAACGACAACAACAATAAAATCACCACTAATGCCACCACCATCATCATCGTCATCACCACCAATACTACCAACAGCAGCAAAATCACCAATCTTACCAACAACATCAAGGCCACCACCACCAATATTAACATCAATAATAAAACCACCATCAACACCACCACCAACATCACCACCAATCTTACCAACAACATCAAGACCACCACCACCAATATTAACAACAATAATAAAACCACCACCAACATTACCACCAACAGCAGTAAAATCACCAATAACACCACTACCACCCTTATATCCCCAACAACACCACCGCTACCAACACAATAACCACATCAACAATAACAATACCACCAACGATAATAACACCACAACAACACCATGAAAAACAAAAATCATATCATCTAAATTTGTGACTTATATTCTTACGTTTCATTGCTTGAACATAAACAGAAATGATTGAGTTATGCACCTGGACCTAAATCGAATATAAATCAAAAAGAAGAAGTCATAAAACTGGTGTTATTAAGAAGATATTAGTAATTATATTAATAATGATGTTAGTAGTGAGGATATTAAGTAGTGAGACTAGGTTTAATAGACAACAAGCAAGCATTATGTTTTATTTTAACGTTGTTTTCCTATTACACTAGAAATTATTTATTTAGGTTGCGATTGATATTTAGTTAATTTTATATATTCAATCTTTTTTTTCCTGCATATATAGGCATATAATTTATATCACTTTTTTTTCTTTTATATTTATTTTTGACATATCGTTTGGAACAGAAAAAATTATATATTATTATTATTTAAATTCAATGGGTAAATTTCCATGAAGTTTAGAAAGAAATGCATGCTAAATTTCAAATTCATAATTTATATACCACATTAAATATAATTACTAACTATATAGTGAAAAAAAACAATAAAATTTTCAATAAATTTTCAAATCTTTCTTCTTGACATTTCTGCTGCACCCAGTAATATCAATTGACAAACGTTCCACCAAATTCTCCATGGACATTCCATCTCTTAAATTTTCCAATTGTTTCAAAACTTCTTGAATATTACCATCCAATTGTTTTTCACGATATTTAATTTCATTAATTAATAATCTTCTTTGTTCAAGTCTTTCTAGATTTTGATGTTCCCATTCATGACCATATGATTCGATTAATGAAATTATTGAAGGACTTCCATCATGACCGTGATACCACTCAGAATAAGCGTCATAAACGTTTAGGAGATCTGAGAATTTTGGTAGAATATAAAATGGTGGGGCTGTTGACACAGTTTGAGATATAGAATATGTAATATTATTAGATGGATAAGAAGGTAATTGTCTGGATGATCCTTGCGAATCGATTGTCATTGCTAACTTAAAAAAAAAATAAAAAGAGAAAAAGTAACTGATTTATAATGTAATAGGCAATGATGCAATCTTTAGGTAAGTGCCTGAAATTTTTTTGGTTGAATTTATTAAATAATTTCACATGGTTGCAGAAGTCAAGAAATTTATTATAAAGTTTATAGGTTAAACAACAAATATTATATATATAATGATAATATATGTCGCAGCTGATGCTGAAGTTTGGAGTCTCGGTTTGAAAATATAAACCCTGCTAAAATTCACATATACTCTTTAATTATCAAACTCCTAACCTAACCCTAAAAAAAAAGGCGGACAAAAAACACCACAAAAAAATTTAAAATTTTCATATCAAAATAGGTCCGAATTTCAGCATCAACCGTTTTTCAGCATCAGCTGCGACAATATATTTCTCTTTAGAGACGCTCCAAAGATAATTAGTATATTATGGATGATAAAAGAAATGCCTTAATAATGACTTGAGAGAAACTTGAGAGATCTTGTATCAAAGTTATCAAACAGTAAATTAATGGAACTTTGCTATTTTTTACACTGTAAAGATATAACTAGCAGCTAACAGTAGCGTAAATTTCAAAGAACTTGAAATTTTTAATACTTGAGCATCGCCAAGGAAATCTTATAAAATTTCCAGGTTTCCCTTGGATATCATCCGTCGTATTCCATTTTAATTGTGTTCAAAGTTTTGAAACTTATTTAGTATTCACCGGAGGAGAAATTCACCACGATTATGTTTTTAATTATTATTACATGATCTATAGAAAAATTTACCCCGAATTTGAAGGTAAAATTAAACTTTAGGGTTAGGATTTAAGGCTTAAATTAAAGTAGAGGTTAGAGTTTTTAGGATGCTGAACATTTTATTTAATATTCCAAATACCGATTACCAAAGCCGTTTTGAGAAACACATACCCGGTGAATTTCACCTCCGGTGAGTCCAAAAACTAAATCTAATTTTTTTATAAACCATATGAAAATAGGACGATTTTAACGCCCACCGGAGGTGAAATTTACTGGGTATGTCGTCTCTCAAAAACGGCTTTGATAATCGGTATTCATATACTAACTCTAAGTAAAAATTTTCAGCACCCTAGAAAACTTAACCTCTACATTAATTTAAGCCTTAAACCTTAACCCTAAAGTTTAATTTTAGCTTTCAAATTTGATAAAATTTTCTATAGATCATATAACAATAATTAAAAACATCGTACCTCCGGTAAATACTAAATAAATTTATGAAAACACCCTTTTATTTAAAAAAAGAACACAAGTTACTACACAGTGGCTCTCAATATAGCGGACCATCGATATAACGGATATTGCTTAATACGTAGAATTATTATGATTTACTATAATATCCGATATATCATGAGATTTTGATATAACGGAGGACTGGAATCATGACCTCCGTTATATCGAGAGCCGCTGTGTATATCGGTATCAGTACGATAATTTCTTTTAGACAACGTATTCAGCCATGAGGACAATTTCTAAAGTCGAAATAACGTGTCTTGAAGTTGAGATCTTTTCCTTTCTCTACTGATTCGCAAGTAATATTATTTTCTTCTAATTCGACTTCTTTAGCATTCTAGGAAGTGTGAAATGATATAAATGCTCTCACTTAGCATCACCTCTTTGTCATATTATTCATTCAGAAAAGTGAAAATCCAATTGATGTTTAGCGTACATATATGAGCGAATGAAGTTTATGAATCTTTTGGTGGGACAGTAAATTCTTGTATGAAAGAGTTTATACAAAGCTGGATTTATTGAGTTAAATTCACCCTGTTGAATTTATATCTGGGAGCCAAGTAAAATTCACGTATTTCTGTCCTATTTATTGTCATATACTTTGCATGAAATAATTATTGTGAGAGAGGTCTTTGAACATATAGAAAATTAATTCTTTACTCGGATATATTAATTAATCATATTATAACCAAGTGATACATAAATAAAAACGAATTCTAAATTCTAAAAAAAAAGTTATACAATTGTAATTGTACACATACACATAAAAGAATAATACATTTTAGAATTAAATTTCACCAACCAACTCATTTATACATCAAGAATGATTATGATTGTGTCTTTTGATATTCGTCAACAAAATAATCTTTCTGACATTCATTAACATGGCTATAATAAAGCAAAAGAAAGGTTATTAATAGTTTAAGGATTATAAAAATCAAAAATAAATAAATCAAGATACTTTAATAAATCACTCAAATGTTCTTTCAAAACATTCAATGTCTCCTCGCCAATATTCGTACTCGATATTAATTTTGGGAAAATAACTAAATAAAAGTTGGCACTATAAGCTTTAAACATAATAAATTATACTAATACTAGTGATAATTTACCAAATAATCTTAATAAATGTTCGGCTCCATAAATTTGAGCATTTTCCAAGTTTTCAAATTTAGAACGAACTTCCTTATATTGATTTCTTTCAGAATGATACAAAAGCCGAGTTCCCAAACATTTGTTAAAGTAAAATCCTACACCCTTGCTAACTTCTTCAGCAATACCATTATCATCCTTATTTTTTTCATTTTTCCAAGATTTATAATTGCTTATTATATCATTCACTGATGGTTTACGTGGCAACGGCACCCACTTTAAAAAGTTGGAGAATTAGTAAAAGTATAATATAATTTTTTTAGTTACAATATTAAAAAAAAATCTGTACCATTTGTGACTTATTTATATTTTCCCAATCCTGTACTAAAAGTAACCTAAGTTGTTCAGGAATATAAATTATAACTTTAGGCTTCTTAATGTGATCATCCTATTAGTGAAAGTTTCATTAAATATAAAGTTTTGTAACTTAATTAATCATGATAATAATGCTATAATAAAGGTTGTCAATATAATAAGAATAATCGAAACAAAACTTTACTTTATCTAAAGAAAGATCTCTTTTTCGCTTTTTGCTTTTATCTACTGAAGAATCCTGTACGATTTTTTTTGATGATGATTTATTTTTTTTTGTCATAGATTCCTCAATTTGTTTTTGTCTACTTAAATTTGCTTCGTTGATTGGTAATACTCTATTTTCAGCTACCCACTCATCCCAACTTTTAAGTACCATGAATTTTTAATAAATATTTGCAGATTTCAGATAATAGTAAAAAACTGTACACTGCTTACGTATTCTTCCATCCTTTATAGTGTATTAAATAATGTGGACCTGAATCTCCTGATTTCGGATGTTGGTAATCTTTATCTAAAATCTGGTGGTGAATTACGATGGGAATATTTATAATGATTACATCTATAATGTGAAATTTTAAAACAGCGACGCTTTAACTTAAACATACCTTGGCCTCATATATCATGGGCCCGTGAAAACAAAGGATTCTGTCGCCTTGGCGATAAAGAAACTTTTCGTTTTGTGCCATGTTAAATAAATATTATTATTAAATTTATCCAAAAAAGAGAGATGGTTCCATTAGATTAGTGATAAAAAAAATTCGAGCTACTCTTATATTTTTCTTGTACGGCAGTTCACTTCCAATTGTGGAAAAGCAAACAATAAAATGCATGTAACTTATGTTACATGCACCGTACATCATACCCGATACATAAAATCGGTGAAGCAACGTCTTTCGTCACTCTCGCGTGATGAATATACCGGATTTATTTATTTCTGCAAGTGATACAAATCACGTACGTACCAATAGTAAATACTGTATTTATTTGTTGTTATTTTCGCCAAAAGCACGTCAGATTTGACCGTTAGGGTTAGAGTTAGGGTTGGGATAAGGAATTGTGTATAGTGAAATTTGGCTAGAAATTTTTTTTATTAGAACGTAAAAGATGATTTCCTATGCAAAATTTTGAGTTACCGACGATGTTTTGAAAAAGCCTTCGATTTCGCGTTATACAAAAAACTCACCTGATCGCGCGGTATACATAGAAAATTTTCCTTTTTTGGGTTTGTAGCACTTACAGAAATAAGTGTACGTACGTACGTACCTTCAAATCATAATCGATGTTTGACAAAAACTAAGTGTGATACTTAAAAGTTGAATCAACAAACTGGGTCAAGATTTGAGTACACCAAAAAAGGCGGATTAGTGGTGGCAGAAACGATCCTCGGCCCGAGCAATTTAGAGCTCCGTAGATTATAAAATATTCGGAGAATTCGCAGAGAAAATTTCATAATCAAAGATTATGTATTCGATATTCTGATCTGTTTTACTCGGAAATCACGGGACCGAGGATCGTTTCTCCCACCACTAATCCACCTACACCAAAATATTGTACGTAGAGAAAGTGGTCTCATACAAATTTTTGGAATATTCCTTTACAAATTTTAAGTGAAATTATAATTTTTTTTTTATTGGACAATCGTTATGCAACTCACTATCCGTATAACGATAGTGAAGTGATCCGTTCCGTTAATAAATTTTTTTAAAAATTCATTATATCGAGAGTTTTATTAATAAATTCGATAGAGAGAATTTTATATAGACTGGGCTAGGGTGTGTGTCACGGCAGTGATCTGTTGAAAATCAACTAGTTGACAACTTTTCAACTAATCGATTTAGAAAAAAATTTAAAAACAACTAAATTATCAACTCATTCAATTCCGGAATATTCCGTCTAGTCGGGCTAATCCGTGTAGATTTCTTTAGTTTGATTGGTTAATCGGTAAATTTAGTCATATGATATGAAAAATCGATTATTTGCAACTATAGTTGGCAACTAATCGACTGGCAAAATTTTTACCAACTAGGAACAAACACTATGGCACGGTGGTCATGGGCATGCCCGAACTGATATTTGGACATTCCGAAATATTCCGAGTAAAAAAACAACATAAAATTACAAGAGAAAAATTTGAAAGGTAGTTTAATTATATTATGGCACGCCAATGGCACACCTTACTTTGAGCTTAACTTCACTATATTGAGATTTTAATTAGTCTTTATTATATCGGGAGTTTACTATAACGAGAGTGAGTTATTATCTGAATATGAATTCCAGAAACATCTCTTTTCGTTTCATTTTTTTTATGAAGCTTAAACCATCGAGGACAGTCATATTTATAGATGTCCGGAGGACTCATTCTTCTATACGTTTTGATGACTGAAATCACGATTTTGATGCATTTATCAAAAACGTAGTTTCGGCATTTTCCGTCTGTAACGCCAGGTTTGGAACCATTAATCGAACGTTCTTACTAAAATTATGGGCTCCGGGTTTCCGGTTCCTAGTGTAGATTATACTAGCCGTACAAATCACATGATATCTTGATATCTTACGAAAAAATTCTTTGTTCGGAACCAATAAAAATAAAGGATATCTGTAGTGATGTAACGTCATGGGCTGAAATTCGTCTGATTGGCTAGTGTAAATCAATAGCCCGGGTAACTTATTTATACACTTTAAAGTACTT